CTGGAGACAAGATGAGATACGGAAAGAAGAAGGAGATTTTCTTATTGAAATGTCTCATAAACGTCACTTAATTGGGCTCCCTCATCTCATTTCTTTTTCTCTACCATCTAGGACTGTTGAGAAAAGACTTTGTCTATGTGAAGTGACTTTCACACTGTTCAGCATATGCTTTGTGTTTAGGGAAGGGTAATACGTACTATTCACTCAAGCACTACCACTGCATAGCTATGTGACACCATGCAAGCAACTCAGCTTCCCTGAGCTTCAGTTGCTTTATCTATTGAATTAAGGCACTAGATGACATGAACCATACTCCAGAAGTGAAATACTGAGGAGAGGGGATGGAGAGGTATTGGACTCTTTTCATTTACACATCTGGACCACGTGATGGAGATCCAGAGATGACAATTCAGAGGAGAGACACAGAACCCTCCACCTGTTTCCAAATGCCCAGTGTTACTGCCAACAAGAGTCAGCCACATAAAAGCAGGCACTGGGATAAAACACATTCCATCTCTTTGCCAGGCTTTGCCTAATGTCCAGGTAAAAAATCAGGAGAGTTTACAGAGCACAAGTGTATTAGTTCTTTTTCATGCTGCTGATAAAGACATACTTGAGACTGAGTAATGTATAAAGAAAAAGAGGTTTAATGGACTCACAGTTCCACATGGCTGGGGAGGCCTCACAATCATGGCAGAAAGGCATATCTTACATGGCAGTAGGGAAGAGGAAATGAGATCAAGTGAAAGGAGTTTCCCCTTACAAAACTTTCAGATCTTGTGAGACTCATTCACTATAATAAGAACAGTGTGGGGGAATAGCCTCCACAATTCAATTATCTCTCACTGGGTCCCTCCCACAACACGTGGGAATTATGGGAGCTACAGTTCGAGATGAAATTTGGATTTGGACACAGCCAAATGATAACAACAGGTGAACTGAAGAGAGAGGTCTAAGTATAAGATTTAAAAGAGAGCAGAAACATAATACCTGTTGCCTTTGCAGGTACTTGGCAGATGTTTTCCTGTTACACCTGTGTGCCACCTCATGTCCTCGCACTTGCTCTTCTCTCTGCTGTGAATCTCATTCCTGCTGTTCGTGTCTCTGGCTCCTTCTCATCATTTGTACCTCAGCTCACTCTGCTCCACCTCAGACACAATGGCTGCCACTGAAAACCCTTCTGAACGCACCCCCCCCCCCATCACGATCACGTCATCTTGGGCTGCTGCTTTCAAACAATTACCACCCCAAAGTGGGTGTATGTGTGTGCATTTGTGTGTGTGTGTGCGATACATACTCATCTTATTTTCTGTCTCCCCCAAATGCAATTCAAGCTCCGAGAGAGAAGGAGCACCTCTTTTGTGCTCATCTTTGTACAGCAATGCCACTCTATATTAATAACTGTACACATATTTGTTAAATGAATGAATGACCACTAGGAAAAGCCCTACAGAAGTGTGTTGCAGGAAAGAAGGATTCTGCATAGGAGAGGAAATCATGAGAGATACTGACCCTGGCCTAACCAGGAGGGGTGGAGTACAGGAGTGGCCTGAAAAGGGGGATGTTTTATCATAGACATTGATTAGCATTACCAATGCATGGAATAACAAAAAGTAGACCCACTTTTAATTGTTTTTATTACTGTTTTTAAACTCTACACAAACACTGCACCCCTCATTTCCTGCACCCCAAGAAGGCTGTTCTCACTGCCCTGCAGAACACCACTGGACTTACAAGCAAATTTCTGCTCATTGTGGAGAAAGAAAATGGCAGAAGGGAAAAGGCAGGTCTTTAAGGAAGGAAGAGGAACCTCAATATCTATGAGCTATCTACCGACTACCTAAATATTCTTTCAACAAACATTTGTTGAGCATCAACTATGAGTCAGTGCTGTGTAAAGTGCAATGAAACAAGGTGGTGAAGGCATAGCTGCTGGGCTCTGTGCCTGGTTGTAGACTCAGGCCCAGGAAGGACAATGACAGCAAATGGTAAATTCTGCCCTACAGATGAGAGTCAAGTGCACGGTGGGTGCCACAGATGTGCTGAGTTCTTCTATTGTGGAGAACCAGGGGAAGTCAGTCCCAAGAGGTGATGTGTCAGGTGGGCTCTGAAAGTCACATAAGCCACTGCTGGGAAGCAAGAGGAGGAAAATATTTTGAGTGAGGCACAGAGAAGTGAAAAGGGATGACCCATCTGGGAATACAGGCTGGTGTGTCTGGCATTCCTGTGGCTTGAAGTGCAGCCCAATGTATAGAAGAGCGGGGAAAGAGGACAATAAAGGTTAAGTTGGGCAAGGCATGCAACGGGTCTTTAGTGCTGCACTGAAAATAAAACCCGAGAAACAGAAAAAGCAAAACGACCTTCAACCAATGGGCAGCCATCAAGGTGTGTAAGTGGGGAATGACACCATGAGCCTTTTACTCTTAGAAAACTCCCCTGCTAGCACTGAGGATCATAGCCAACATGGCTGACCTTAGCTCTGTGCAAATGTCAGCCAGCAAGGAAAATGGAGCTCCCTACACCATGCACCTGCTCTCTGCATCCACGTTTCCATCCCTTTATTTACCTCCCTTCTTCTGAACCTCAAAAACCCGTTCATGTTTATTAATGACTACCTATAGTACATCACAAGTGTGACATTTAAAACTTAAAATTGTTTGAATGATGAGATTGCCAAGGAAATAAAAATTCCTCTACATTTGAAATCCTTTCAATCCTACCAGGCCCCACAGCTGTGGAAAAAAAGTTGGAGGATTTTCAAACTCCAAAGTATTTTTTTTATAGGACCAACTGTGAAGTATTTCAAACATTAGTTGCCATTGTGTTGTTATTTTTTAAGCTGTGAATGTGTCAAAGTCTTTAGTGGGGAAGGTCCATTATCTGCAGTGCAATGCACCTCCTGATATAATTATACATATAGTAAATGTTGCATGTGCAGACACAGAGTCCAGAACAGATCAAAATGGAAAAAAGAGTCAGTGTCGTGTGCAGCAAAGAACACTGGCTTTGGCGTGAGACAATCCTGGCCTCAAACCCCAGCCTCCATTTTTTTTTCCTAAGGAATGATTGCTAAGCTTCAAGGAGACAGAATACACCAAAGACATTAATCCTGTCCAAGCGAGGTTACATTGACATGAGTTCAAATGGATGGTGACATGGAGCCCACCCGACGGCAGAGTGTCCGTTCCTCTCATCAGCATCTTCCAATTTTTTCTTCCATTTGCAAAAGAAGAATATCATGTGTCTACAATTCGCTCACTTATTGCCCTTGTCCTTTGGCTGTGTTACAACAGCAGCACCCCTAAATCCCAAAGGGTTTACACACAAAAGTGTGTTTCCAGCTCACACAAAATCCGTTGAGAACCCAGGCAACCTTGGCACAGTTATCCCTCATGCCACTTGCCCCTACTGTCTGTGTGTCTGAGGAGGAAGGGGGCTGGGATGCAGACACGAGACCTGCCCCATTTGGAGCTGCTTTTTCACTGGACCCCAGAGAAGTCTTTCTCTAGCCAGAACTTCATGATATCTCTCATGAAATTAGTCTTCAGCTTCTTTTTCATTTGTGTTTCCTCCTGTATGTAAATATCAGTAAACAAACTTTCAAAAGCCATCTCCAGCTGGGTGTGGTAATGTATGCCTATGGTTCCGGCTACAGGAGGCTGAAACAGGAGGATTGTTTGATCCCAAGAGTTTGAGGCTGCAATGATCTGCAATCATACCACTGTACTACAGCCTGGGTGACAGAGTTAGACACTGTCTCAAAAAAAAAAACTTACCCATTTCTACAATGATAAGGTATTGACCAGGGAACACATTTTAAATCAATTTCACCAGTTTTTGCCAGGCTCCAGCTCTAGGCCAAGACAAGGTTAACTCACTGACATAACGACTCCTACCCCCAAATGACTGGTAAGTGTAGCATGGAAAATGAAAAATAGGTTCCCATGAGCAAACCCATCGCTGAATTCCTCTACGACATTTCAAGAAATGAGATTTGTAAATAATGAACAGAGAACATGGTGGCTGCAAAAGAATCCTCAAGCTTCGTCATGTAAGGAGTATAATAAAATGTCTACCGTTTTTTAGAGAATACATTTCTGACTTCTACCGAGGACAACTTCAAAATTTCAGGGTACTAATTTCATCCAGAGCACACTGTTACTTACTTAAAATATTGATACATTAGAGGGGGGGAGGGGAAAAGAAGGAAGGAAGGAAGGAAGGAGGGAGGGAGGGAAGGAAGGAAGGGAAGGAAGGAAGGAAGGAAAGAGAAAAGGAAGGAAGGAGGGAGGGAGAGAAGGGAGGGAAGAAAGAAGAAGGGAAGAAAACCTCCCCATTTTCTTAAACTTTCCTCTTTCATACCTAGGAGAAATTATAATATTTTGAAAATTTCCAGAAATTTAAAGATAATCGAGTTCTATGAGCTTTTTCAGAGAAGGAAATCGGTAGCTCAGGGAGGCGAGGCTCACTGCCACTAATCACAGGGTCAGCAGATGAATGAACTAACCCTGTGTGCAGCACTTCCCACAACCCCTTCTGTGTTGTCTAGCTAAACAACAGCTTAGATGAGAGGAAGACCTTGCTGGGTAAGTATCTCTCCCAGATCCCAGCCAGAGAATGCAGCCTTCTGTTTGTATCAAGGCACTTGGTTTCTGTGCTGAGAGAACAGTGCTTGTTTGAGCCCCTGGCCCCTGGCCAGAGAAGCTGGGCTCTGGGAGCAGTTCAGGGAGACTGCAGTGAATGGGAGGGACGCTCCCAGTTGAGAGGAGGCTCCTGGCTGTCCACTGAGGAGAGGCTAGGAATCCTTCACAATAAACGATTGAGAAATCCCTCCAGGAAGGTAAACAACCTCAAGTGTGCAACTGGTGGCCAAAGGTGAAAGACGGATGTGAGCAAAAGGCCAATTAAATGTCCACCTGGTTACTCATTTTTTCTCTTCTCTTCTGCTCCCTTCCTCCCTCCTCCTCCCCTTCCTCTTCCTTCTCCTCCATTTCCTATTCCTTCTCCTTCTCCTCCTCCTCCACCTCCTCCTGCTGCTTCTTCCTTCCTTTTGCCACAAATCACTAAAATGATTTATTTTTTCAGGTATCTAAACTCTAGATGTTTAAAATCTCCAACATCTATTTTAGATGAAGTGTGGGGTGATGCACACAGCCTAGAGAAACTCCTTATGTAACGGAGGTGTTTGCCAGCCCTTCACTAGTTCTCATTATTGGCCTGTAACTCAGCGCTCTTCTGCATGAATACAGTAGGTAAAGTGCAGAGCTGGTGGTCAAATAGACCTGGATAGAATTCTGACTCTGTTTCCATCTAGCTGTTTGTCCTTGAGGAATGCATTTGATGTCTCTGAGTCTCACTTTCCACACTAAGAATAGACATAAAGTACACACCATGCAGAATCATAAGGAGGAAATCTCAGATGCATTCCATTACCCAGCTCTCTGTGTGTTAAAGAGGTTCAAGATTTGCTCCTCTTTTCTTCCCGGGTGACAATTTCTATGTGCCAGGTAAAAATATTATTCATTCACTCATTTGTTTGTTCGGTAAGTGTTGACTTTTTAGGAGAGTCACTGTTCTAGGTTCTGAGTTTGCAGCAATGAATCGAAAACGCAAAGTCCCGACCCTCAAGGAGACAGGTTCCCAGTAGTGAAGGTCAATAAGTCAACACCAGAAAAAATGGTGAAGGAAATTTTATCTTTTAGTTACTGTTATATTCCCAGTCCCACGAATAGTTCCTGGCACATCAAAAATTAAAACACAGGAGACAACATTTAAAGTAATATTTAATCGTTAAGTATATATTAGTACTATATCTAGTAATGATCAGTTCTGTGAAGACAAATCAAATACAATGAAAATAGGAAGTTATCAGAAGTTATAAGGTGGTTGTGGAAGCCTTTATAGTGAGGTGGTATTTGAGTAGAGAGCTAAGTTAGAGTGAGGCAACAACCATAATGAATACTTACTAATCATGTAATCACAGAAGAACCGTTTTTAAGAGTTTTCTGGCCACGTATGGTGGCTCACACCTGTAATCTCAGCACTTTGGAAGGCGGAGGCGGGTGGATCACAAGGTCAGAAGATCAAGACCATCTTGACCAACATGGTGAAATTCGGTCTAAACATACAAAAATTAGCCAGGAGTGGTGGTGCATGCCTGTAGTCCCAGCTACTCAGGAGGCTGAGGCAGAAGAATCACTTGAATCCAGGAGGCAGAGGCCGCAGAGAGCCGAGATTGTGCCACTACACTCCAGCCTGGGTGACAGAGCCAGACTCTGTCTCAAAAAAAAAAAAGAATTTTCTATACATTAGATTATTCTTCAGCTCTCCATAATCCAGTGAGGGATTGTGATTATCATCACCATTCTAACACTGATGGAATGAAGCACTGGGAGTCAAATTACTTGTCCAGGGTCAAACTCTCTTCAGCCTATTTAGAGATATTTCCGCTCTAGATAGACAGAAGAGAGGTTGAGATTTGAACCCATCAGCCTGACTCTAGGTTTGTGGGTTCAACCTTCATGTGACACTGCCTTAATTCCATCAGGTTAGGCTACATTCTCAAGTCCTGGACCACTCAGATCCAAATTATAGAATATGGTTCAATCATCTTGTATGCTTCAGAACAACCTGTGCTTGAAGTGTTAGTAGCAGATGGAAATGTTTGTAGCCTACATAGGCAAATAGTAGCACAGGCTTCAGGATTTTGGAGCAAGCTCTGCCATCAACTGCAGAAAATCCTCTCCTTTTGAAAGAGGGCTCTCTGCCAGCTATTAGGCTTTAGTAGAAACTGAATGCTTGACTATGGGCCACTAAATATCCATGCTATCTGAGTTGCCTAAAATGAACTGCGTGTTACCTGACCTACCAAGCCATGAGGTTAGGCATGCAGTACAATACTTCATCCCCAAAGGAAGTTCTGTTTACTGGTTCAGGCCCAAGAAGGTCCCAAAGGCATAAGTGAATTAGATGAAGACGTGACCCAAATGCCCGTGGTCCCTGCTGCTGCTACACTGCCTTCCCTCTTCCAGCCTGCATCTGTGGCTTCATGGGTCACACCCTATGATCAGCTGACAGAGAAGGACAACAGTCGAACCTGGTTTCAGATGGTTTTGCATAATATGGAGACACCAAATTAGACAGCTGCAGCACCACAGCCTCTTTCCAGGACATCCATGAAGGACAGTAGCAAAGGGAAAACCTCCCAGTAGGCAGCACATTGGGCAGTGTGCCTTGTGGTGCACTTTACTTGGAAGGAGAAATGGCTAGACATGCATTTATGTGTCAATCCATGGGCTGCAGAACCAATGATCTGGCTAGATGCTCAGGGTCCTGGAAGAAAATGTCATCTCCGTTTATATTTATGTCTTTCCCACTGGGCCGTGGGCTCTACCAGAACAATGACTGCATCTGAGTCATCTGTCATTTACTGGGACTTCAGGATGTGGAACGACCAAACTCTGAAAAGAGAACACAGAACAGTATGGTCTGAAGAGGGAGAAACTTGGGAAAGATGAGTCTGATTTTATTGACTCCATCTCTCAAACTGCCCTAGGGCTAGGAGTCAGAACACTTCACTGAGATAGAAGAACTTGAATTGTTGAAACCGTAAATCTCATTCTCAACACCTGTATGTTTGAAAATAGCTATACCTGCTTCCAGAAGCCACTCAGTGCAGTTAAGGGGCTGCCTTGAAGGGAGTCCATTAATATTCCTTTTATCTGTGTCCTGAACCTGAGGCTCCTCACAGACCTGGAGTCTGTGTCTTCCCCAGCACCCAGTGGGAGGCTGAATAATGTCCCCACAGATGTCCACATTCTGATTCCCAGAACCTCTGAATATGTTGCCTTACATGGCAGAGGAATTTTGCAAGTGTGATGAAGGTAAGAATCTTGCAATGAGGAGATATCTGGGTGAATCCAATGTGATTACAAGAATCGTGAGGGAAGAAGTGGTGATTCAAGAGTCTGAAGGAAGGTGATTTGATGTGAGACCACTAGCCAAGAAATGAGAATGGGCTCTAAAACCTGGAAAAGACTGTGTGAAACATTCTCCCCATTGCCTCCAGAAGGAACAGATCCCTGACAACACTTGGATTTTGGCTCACTAAGACCCGAATTTGGACATCCAAATTTCAGAACGGTAAGATAATAAATTTGTCTTGTGTAAGCCACTAAGTTGCGGTAATGTGTTTCTGTGGCAATAGAAAACTAATACAAGCCATTTGATGGATCTTCTGAGTTGACAGCAGTCCACTTGAAGATGAACAATCCATTCTTAGGTAAGGCAGACACTGTAGTTCCTTATGTTTATATAAGTGAGTCGAAGATGGCCTCTATGTATTGGCTACTGGGTTGCTTATTTCTTTGCAGAAGGCTGAGACCCCGAGCTCAAAAGCCCACTCGCTCCAAAGTCAAATATTTTGCATATCCAATTATTTAAAACATAACCCAAACAAGCCATTTGAAGCCTGCTTGTTTTGCATACTCTGGGAAGCACCACCAGACAATTGTTACCCATTGCTAAGATAGGGTCTTGTAAATACAAAGCCAGAAGGAGCAGCTGCTACCCTTGGGAGCTTTCTGACCCAGCCTTGCTGTTTAATATCACCGGAATGTTGTTAAAACCACTGGATGGTCTCGTGCTCTAAGGACCTTTCCTGATATGCAACCCTGTCCAAATACTGTCCCATCAAGCTTGTTGTTTGTTACAGCCTGTCAGGATCGTAAATCATTTCTTGATCAGCCCCCAAATCCCTTGAACTTCCAATATTTACTCTCCTCTAGTAGAAGAATGCCCAGTTGCCCAGGACTTATTTTAAAGAGCTAAACTATTATTGAAGGAATCAAATCAAAGTCTAAGGTGTCAAATCTTCTCTAGGTAACATTAAATATAGTCCGTATTATTTTCAATTATATGAATTTTTTTCACTTGCAGACTAGCAGGAAATTGGCATGTGAGCAAAGTAATACCGGCTGAATTTAGCCTGTGTGCCTGACGGAGATAAACAAAACAAGAAGAATTTGAAAGTACACTCACTCCTTGCTGATGTATTCTTTTGGTTAATTTTATTAGCGCTCAAGTATACTATCTGTTTTTTACTATTAAAGAGCACATCTATTTAGTACTTACTCCAGTTTGATCAGCTATGTTCAACCCCATGATCAGGAATTTTTGTTAAACAGAACTGAGAGGGCAAGGGGTTAATGTCCACCCTGGAAATTGCCGACTGATGGTGCGTTCACTGTGAGGTTCTGTTGCTGGACATTTCACAGGTAGATTGGGAACAACATGATTTAGAGAGGCAATAATATACTTCTCAGGATAGGAGAAATTGAAAACTCTGTATGCAGTAGTTTAACTTATAAGTGTAAATGATTTATTTGGTTTAAAGCTAAGTCACAAGTTAGGCACATATAAAGTGGGTGTAATTAGGTCTGCTTCACATTAAGTATCATGTTTATTTCCCATCTATAAACTGATAAATAATGCAGCAATTGGAAACTGAAATTGTCATGCAACAGTGATGCATAGATTTACCATTTTTTAGAAGATTTTATGCATATTCTACAAATGAATCAAGAATATAGTTGACTTGCTTGCAATTAAATACAAAGTTCACATAGAACCTAAGATTAATGTTTTCCCCTGTTTGGGGACACACACAGAAACACACACACACACTCACACACTCTCACACACACTCACATGGTGGTAAAATATACATATTTGCCATTTTAACCTCATGTGTATGATTATATGATTCAGAGCCATTAATTGCTTTCAAAATGTTGTGTATCCATCACCATTATTTCTAAAACGTTTTCACAACCCAAACAGAAAATTTATACCTGTTAAGCAATAACACTTCATTGTCCAACCTCCCTCCCCACCTCCCCCTGGCAGCCCCTGGTATCTGCTAATCTACTTTCTAGCTCTGTGGATTTTCTTATTATAGATATTTCATATAAGTGGAATCATATGAGGTTTATTCTTTTATGTTTGGTTTATTTCACTTAGCATAATAGTTTCAAGGCTCATCCTTTCTGCAATGTGTATCAGAACTTCATATATTTTCTTGCCTAAATAATATTCTACTGTGTACCATGTCACATTTTGTTTATTCATTAATCAGTTATGGGACATGGGTTGTTTCTACATTTTGACAATTGTGAATAAGGTAAGGTTGGATTTTAATAAATAGATGGGTGAGGCTGAGATATCTCTTGACCTTTACAATTCGTTGTGCCCTTTTCAGTCTTGCCATCCTCCACCTCTCTAGAAAAAAAAAATAATAATAAGTAGGGCTGTTTGCATTGAGAGAGAAAAAAAAAAAACTGAATTTAAAGGAACTACCTTGGCAAAACGAAAAAATTTGATAGATAACTGAAAATAGTCATTTCACATTCTTGAAAAACAGTTAACAATTATCTATAGAAAAAGAAGTAAATTTCTCAACTAGTTAGTAGAACTTTTTAAAGAAAATTACCTTTCATCTGCATCTGTCTTTGTGTAAGAAGAAAGAACAAGAAAATTGTCTACCTTTTTCTTCTTCAGTATTGGAATATTTCAGAAAAACAAAATGATCTTCATTATTCTGATAATTATTTTTAAAATGATGTTTGTTTGTTGTACAGGATAAAACAAATTGTTTTTCTTTATACTCACTCAACTTCCACATCACTATTTCACATATGGCCATCCAATGTGTGCTTTTCTCTTCCTCACACCAAGATAATTTTAAATTCTTGGCAGACAACAGCTGAGTGTCCTATGATTTAACTCAATTCTGATACTGTCCTGAGATTGAATCAGACCCCATAGGCTAAGGCCTCAGTCCCACAAGACTGCCCCAGCTTCAAAAGTCAATAACATGTTCTCAGGTGTCATTAGGGATTCTGACTTTGTAAGGACATATTCAGAGGTTCCAATAACCCCCTTTCTCAGGTTTAATAATGTTCTATAACAGCTTATAGAACTCAGCAAAGTGCTGTACATACCGTCACAAGTGTATTACAAAAGATACAACTCAGAAACTGACAAATGGGAGATACTTGCTAGAGTTGGAATGTATCTCAAAAAATTCATATTTTGGAAACTCAATCCCCAATGCTTGGGGTTGGGGCCTAATAAGAGGTGATTAGGTCATGAAGGCTTTGCTCTCATATGTAGATGAACTTCAGTATCAAGGGGGTGGGTTAGTTATCACAGAAGTACATTTATTAGAAAAGTGAGTTTGTCCCCCTCATGCTCTCACTCCCACCCTCATCCACATGCCTTCTTCCATGGGATGACACAGCATGAAGGCTCTCAAATGCTCTTGGAATCCCCAGTCTTCAGAACCATAAGCCAAACAAATTTTTGTTTGTTATAAATTACCTAGGCCGGGCGCGTTGCCTCAAGCTTGTAATCCCAGCACTTTGGGAGACCAAGGCGGGTGGATCACGAGGTCAAGAGATCGAGACCATCCTGGTCAACATGGTGAAACCCCGTCTCTACTAAAAATACAAAAAATTAGCTGGGCATGGTGGCGTGTTCCTGTAATCCCAGCTACTTGGGAGGCTGAGGCAGGAGAATTGCCTGAACCCAGGAGTCGGAGATTGCAGTGAGCCGAGATTGCACCATTGCACTCCAGCCTGGGTAACAAGAGCGAAACTCTGTCTCAAAAAAAAAATAAAAATAAAAAAAATAATAAATTACCCAGTATGTGGTATTCTGCTATACCAAAATAAAATAGATTCAGACAGAATATTGGTATTGAACAAGTGGTGTTGTTGTTGTAACAAATACCTGAAAATGGGAAAGCAGCTTTAGACCTGGGGAATGTGCACAAGTTAGAACAATTTAGAAGTGCAGGCTATGAAAAGCCTAGATGGCCACACACAGAGCACTAAGGGCTGTTGTGGGAAGGACTCAGAAGAGAATAGCTGTAAGAAAAGTCTGAAACTTCTTAAAGGTTACTTAAATGGTCATGATCAAAATGTTGGTAGAAATATGGACAGTAAAAGTCATTCTGATGTGGTCCGAGACAGAAACAAGGAATAATGCATTTGGAAATGGAAATAAAGCCTATCTTTGTTATAGACTGACAAAGGATTTGGTTGAACTATGTCCATTCTCAAGGGCTCTGTGGAAGGTGCAATTTAAGTAAGAGTGATGAACTCTTAGATTGGTGCAAACATAATTGCAGTTTCGTCATTACATCCAATGGCAAAAACCACAATTACATCTGCACCAATCTCATAAGATATCTGGAGGAAGATATTTCTAAGCTAAATATTGAAGGACCTGCCTGGATACTTTTAACTGCTTATAGTGAAGTGAGAGAAGTCAGAAATGATTTAAAGATAAAATTTATCATTAAAACAGAAGCAGAATAAAAATATTTGGAAAATGCTCAGCTTGCCATGTCAGGAATAGGAAAAAAAAATGCTTGAGAGGGAACACTAATAGAATGGCCAAGTGACCATTTGCTAAAATGATTAATATGGATAGAAGGAAGCCAGGCTCCATTTAGGAAGACAGTGAGAGAATGCTCTTGGAAGCATTTCAGAGATATTCCAGGCAAGCCAGAAACTTAAGGGCAAGATTTTCAGAGAAGTGCCCATGGAATGTCAGAATCTGCTGCCCTGTGACATCTAAAATTTGGGGATACCTGAATTCTGGTCCAGCATCCCTTGGCCACCTTAGCTGTGGCTCAGGTGAGTTCAGGTGTGAGTTTACCCACTGCTCCAAAAATTACAAGCCATAAACTTTGGAAGAACTCATGTGATTCTAATTCTACAGACACATAAAATACAACAGCTATGTGGCCAAGATGGCCTCCATCTAAATTTCAAAGGATGTCTTGGATGGTCTGGGGGCATAGACTTGTTACAGGAGTAGACACCACAGACAGCACCCACTAGTGCAAAGCCTATTGAGAGTGGAACAGCCCCTATAACCCCAGAACCATAAAGCCACCAGAGTGCAGCTCTAGGAACCCTGCAGTTGCAAGTACAAGACTTTAAGTCATGACAGCTTCTGGATGTATTGAGCCCAGCAAAGCCATAGCTGTGGGGCTGCCTGAGACTTTGGGGGCCGAATTCCCACCCTCTGTGTGCTCAGGATTTAAGACATGGAGTCAACATAAATTATTCTCCAGATTTCAGATTGAATGTTGTTTTCCCTCTTGGGTTTTGGACTTGGGACCAGTTACTCCTTTCTTTTTGTCTATTTCTCCCTTTTAAAGTGGGAATGTCTAGTCTGTGCCTGTATCACTATTGTATTTTGGAACTGTGTAACTTGTTAATTTCACAGGCTCACAGATGGAAAATAATTTGCCTCAGATGAATCGTGCCTTTAGTGTCACTGATACTTGATTTAGATGAGACTCTGGACTTCTGATGCTGGCACAAGTTAAGAGTTTTGAGACTATTGGGATAGAATGAATGTATGTTGCATTGTAAGAACACACATTTGGGGGACCAAGAATGGAATGCTGTGGTTTGAATATGTCCTCAAATCTATATGTTGAAAACTTAATCTCCACTGTTGAGAGGTGGGGGGGGGGCCTTGGAAGAGGTGAATATGTCATGAGGGCTCAGCCTGGAGCAATGGATTGATGTCATTATCAAGGGAGTGGAATAGCTGTCACAGGAGTGGGTTTGTTTTAAAAGTGAGTTCAGCATATCTTACTCGCTTGCTCTCAGGTTCCCTTGCCCTTCCACCTTCCGCCACAGGATGATGCAGGATGAAGGAGCGCAGCACTTCCTTGGCCTCTCTGGGCTTGCTACCCTCCTGGCACCCCCAAATCTTCATCAACGTGGAAACTCTCAACTCTGTCCTTTGGGTTTTTATGGTCACTTCATTAAGTAGATATGGCTGATTAAATCATTAACTGCTGGTGATAAACAATCTTCAGCCCCTCTTCACCTGCTTCCTGGGGTTGCTGTAGCATCTCCATCATTCAAAAATTCAAAAATTAATTTTAGTTCAATGCTTCTAACATATTTCAGTCCCAGTGTGCTTTCAGCTGTATATGTTAGTGGTGGGTACTCATAAAACCATTCTGTTTTTTACTTTCAGTTCAATATTCAATAAATGATCAGAAGTTGGGGAATGTGGGAGCAAGAGCTGCAAGTTCAGACCTTTTAATCACGTGGTTGGTTCCCCTGGCAACTTCCTCCCATCCTGTGGTTATCTAGGAGTTTGACAAAAGTCATCTCATCAATGTTAACCCAGGTGTGGTTGAAAAGGACTTGTTCTGAATAACAAAAGGCTCCTTTCTATGCTTTAAAGGTTTTATCCCTTAGGCAATTCCAAGGGTTTTAGAAGCTCTATGTCAAGAACAAGATGAAGACCAACATACAGTTGATTCTCAACTTACAATGATTTGGCTTACTACTTTTTGATTTTGTGGTGGTTGCAGAAGCAATACAAATTCAGTAGAAACCATATTTCAGATTTTGAATTTTGATACCTTCTTGGTCTAGTGATATGCAGTAAGATAGTCTCTAGCAAGGCTAAGCAGTGGTAGTGAGCAGTAGGTCCCACTCAGCCATGTGCTCACTGGGGCAAACTGACACTTGGTATTGTCTTGAAGAACACTATTGCTGCCGACCCATAAACAAGTGTTCTTGTTCCAGTGCCTTCTATCAGCTCTTCTTAAGCTTCATTAAAAGAGAGATAAATTGATGACCCTGTTGCTATGGCACTCCTATCATTCAAAAATTAATTTCAGTTCAATGCTTCAAGTGTATTTCAGGCCCAGTGTGCTTTCAGCTGTATACGCTAGCAGTAGGTATGCATAAAACCGTTCTGTATTTCACTTTCAGTACAATATTCAACAAATGACCTGAGCTGTTCCACATTTCATTCTACAATAGGCTTCGTGGTAGATGATTTTGCTGAACTTCGAGTTAATGTAAGTGTTCTATGCAGGTTTAAGTTAGGCTAGGCTTATCTGTGATGTTCAATAGATTAGGTGTATTAAATCCATTTCTGACTTACAATACTTTGAACTTATCAAGATATTTCAATACATCAGATTTATTGCGATATAACTCCACTGTAAGTCAAGGAGCATTTGTACATAGTTCTTACTGTATCACTAAATCACATTTTCCCATGATTTGGACTTATGTAAATGGTTACCATTATAGGCACAATAAAATATCATTGATTTTTAGATGTATTGGCCTTGACTTTCATGGTGGTGCAATGATAACTGAACTAGTTTCTTTACCACGAGTGAATTCCTATTTACAGAACCTTTGAATCCACCAACAAAAGGTGTA